AACAGTACCAGTATTCTCAGCTTGCACTACTTTAGCTGTACCATAATCTGCTACTTTAGCTTCATAACCAGCAGGTCCAGTGCAAGGCTTTAATAATACGTTAGGACTGCTCACATCTCTGTGAATAATAGGCTGAGGCTTAAACAGGTGAAGGTAGTTGAGGCCTAAAGCTACATCTTGAGCAATACTCAGAATCTGTTGATTGGTTAATCGGTTTCTGCGAAGCTCCTGATTAAGACTAGTGCTCATCAGCTCGGTCAAGACAAGAGGATTACCCACTTTAGTTGCACCAATAAACTGGACCAGGTTAGGATGACGTACTCGTGATGCTATACTCATTTCCCTGGAGAAGAGACGTAGATTATAATCTGAGATGATGATAGTATGAAGTGACTTTACAGCTACACTTAAACCTCTAAAGATACCAACTGTAACGACAGCATAAGATCCTCTTTCTAACTCCTCCTCTGTCAAAGTCACCTCATCTTTATTAATAACCCAGTGATCATCAGTAAGTGCTTGTTGCTGGTACCTATGAACTGCCTCTTGAGACTGACGTAGCTCCCTATCCTTCTCCTGTAGCTCCCTATCCTTCTCAAGTATCACAATATCCTTCTGCTGTAGTGCCACCAGATAACATAAATTGTATACATGTATACATGTGTAACATACATGTACCATATAAGGCAAAATTTTCAAGGCCTGTAAATTTTTTGCGATTTTGTCTGACAATGTCCGATTTTGTGTATCATACCATATAGTCCAAAATTTTTGAGGCTGTATAAATTTTGAATTTTCCTAAAAATCTATTTTGCGAATTTAATTTTTGCAAATTTATACCCTTTTTGCTGAAGTAATTTCTGCGAATGTTTCAAAAATTGCCAAATCAGCAAAATTTACAGCCCTCAAAAATTTTACACTACAGTGAAACTTGTCTAAAGCGACCACCTGTGGGCCAGAAAACTTGGTCTTAATAGAGAGGTGGTTTTTGGATAGGGTATCCTGTCTAAAGAGACCATAGCCCTTTATTTATGTTTTACACTATATAGTATAAAAAATAATGCGGTATGTTTATGTGCTAAATACAGTAGTTGATACATGTATATCAATAGTGTTAGTACCATATGGTGCTAGTATATTCCAGGTACATAGTCCATTATCATTAACATTAACTGTACAGTGGTATTTGTACTTGTTACTATTACTATGTGTGTGTGTAGTCTTATTTATAATTATACATTAATGTACAATGAAATAATGATTGTATCCTATACATACAGATGTCTGAAAGCAGTAGTGTCTTAAGCTGTGATATATCAGTTGACGATCGTTTTATTGTTACTGGATCTGGAGACAAGAAGGCTACAGTGTATGAAGTTATATTATGAGGTATAGTTTGATGAGTTTACTATAGTATAAAAAGTAATTGTCATTATTTTATTTATTGTTGTGTCCAGTAGGTGATATTTGACTTGTAATGAATAATGCAATCTACACTTGAGTTTAGTCTCTTTGTTACAAGTACTGACTACAAAACTCTCATGTAATATAAAATCTCTAATAATTCCAGTTAAGATATTGTTTGTCATGTTTGCTATAATGCATTAACATTAATAAGTATAGGTTATACACCGAGGTAGAGGTTTCTATGGTATTTATTAACCGAGCGACGCAGTCGCGAGGTTAATAAATACCATAGAAACCGATACCGAGGTGTATAACCAACTTCTACCATGACACTTGAAAAACAACTACCACCTGCTGATAATAAGACCACAGTTGACATACATACAACATATCTAACAGGCTAGGCCTGTAAAGAATCAACCAAACTTGACAAATGGACTAATAAGAGCATAAGCGTAGAGCACCAAACTGCCAATCAATTAATTATTTAACGAGATAGGTTTATATTTTTACGAGCTAGGTTAATATGAAAAATAATTGACCTCCAATACTGCAATCTGATTGGTCAATCACAAGGTGGCATGGTAGAATAATAATAATAATAATAATAAAACTTGAATTCTTTTGATTGTAATATCTTGTATTACTATTATACCTGAGGGTTAGTTTGTGAGTACATTTCTTGTAAGTACTAGCTCAAGTACCTTTTATCATAATCACCAAGAGAGTACCAACTACCAATTATTATTAATTGGACTCACCACTAACTCACTAAGAAGAATATATTCCAATGCATTCAATAACAGGACCATCACCTCATCAGCAAGCAAAGAAGACATGTTTTAACCTGATGTATTCCTTGACATACAACCA